ACATGACTAACAAAAATGTACAACTGAAATCTCACAAGGTTGTAATCTATCATAACATTAATAAAAAAAAAAAATCATCTCAGGGACTTGTGGGACTATGAAAAGGATCTACCATTGTGTCATCAGAGACCCAGAAACAGAGGAGAAACAGAGGGAGGCTGAAAAAGTTCTCAAAGAAATAATGCCTGAAAACTACCCAAATGTGGCAAGAGACGTAAACTTCCACACGCAAGAAGCTGAGCAAACTCCAAACAGGATGAACCCAAAGACAAAGCCCGAAATAAACACGCAACTCCCTGTGACCCAGAAACTGCACTCCCGGTCATTTTCCCCAGGGAAATGAAGACTTGTGTTCACACAAAAATCTGTACACGAATATTTATAACAAATTTATTTGTAATGGCCAACAACTGGAACCAGCATAGAATCCTTCAACCGGGGAACAGTTAAACAAACTGTGGTACACCCATACTTTGGAATTCTACTAAACAATAAAAAAAATATGAACTACTGATGCATGCAGCAACCTAGACGAATCTCCGGGGGATTATGCTGAGTGAAAAAAACAATTCTAAAAGGTTATAGACTGTATGATCCATTTATATAACATTCTTGACATGATAAAATTACAGAAACGAGGGACAGATTAGTAGTTGTCAGGGGGTAAGGAGGGGTGGGGGTACGAAGGAAGTGGATGTAGTTATAAAAGGGTAACATGAAGGATCCTTATGGTGATGGAAATGTTCTGTATCTTGACAGAACAATGTCAATATCATGGTTATGATAAAGATGTTACCATTCAGGAAAACTGGGTAAAGGGTACATGAGATCTCTGTCTTATTTCTCACAACTGCATGTGAACCTATAAATATCTCAAAATAAAAAGTTTAATTTTAAAAAATCCACCTGAAAAATGTTTTTTAAAGATTTTATTTTTCCTTTTTCTCCCAAAGCCCCCCTGCACATAGTTGTGTATTTTTAGTTGTGGGTCCTTCTAGTTGTGGCATGTGGGACGCCGCCTCAGCATGGCTTGACAAGTGGTGCCATGTCCACGCCCAGGATTCGAACCAGTGAAACCCTGGGTCACCGAAGCAGAGTGTGCAAACCTAACCACTCAGCCATGGGGCCAGCCCCCTCACCTGAAAATTTTTAAATACCTTTGTAAGTAATTTCACGTAAAAAAAAGAAAAATGGAAAATACAATCTTTATCTCGTAAAGCTTATTATATTGCAAGTAACAATTCCAAAACCAGTCGGTTTTTTAAAAAATAAGAGGATGTTTGGCTCACTGAACTTCAGAATTGGTTTGATACAGCATCTCAATGACGCCAAGGACTTGGTTTCTTTCCATTTTTTTCATTATAACTTCCCTGACATTAGCTTCATCCTAAGGCCAGATGTCCATGCGAACACAAGATGGATGCCAACAGTTCACCTGGGGTCACATATTTCCTTGTCAACATCCAAAGAAAGTATGTATACCTCAACCATCCAACAGAAGTCTTGGGCTTTGTTGTGAAAGGACCAACTTACTTCCTGCTTCTATCTCTGGACCAGTCACTCTGACCATGGGATACCCTGACCAGCTTATATCAGGGTACTTGTTTGGGCCCTAAACTGTGTCAAAGGGGAGGCAGTCTAGTGACTGACTTAGGTCCACTCATACAGCTGGGTTAGAGTCCTTCCCACCAAAAATCCTAAGGATGGGGTAAGAGTAATTTCTCAAAAAAAGGAGAAAAAGTTGAATGGATCTTGAATAGACTTCCAACCAATGTCTTCTGCACAAACTCTTTACAAATGAACCACAACTAGAGCACAGAATTGGATTTCTTCGGACGCATGCAACAGAAATCAACTCTACCTAACTTAATCCAACAGAGACTTCTTGGAAAGATGCAGGAGCTCGCCGGGGTCTAAGAGAACACTGACCATCTAGGACGGCTCAGAAATCAGGTGGCTCCGGGGGCCTTAGCAGCAGGAACTGCTCTACAGCTTTTCCTGAGCACTTTGGAGAATGAATGAAGTCCGGTTCTGTTTTCTTTTCTTTTGTCACTTCATTCGCCATTTGAAGTCCTAGGAGAACGAGTAAAGTTGTCTATCATTAGGTCACATCCCTGGGCTGATCTCAGGTGGTGACAAGAAGAATCTAGTGGAAGGAACTTCCAAAGACATTTTGGTCTCCAAAGTGAGAGGTCAGAGTGCCTACTTCTATAGTCCCATCAAGTTTTCACTCATCTGGGGAGGTGGAATCTCCCAAAAGGAAACTGGGGTCCTCTTATCTAAGGAATGGATGCTGGATAAAAAAATTACGGATATTCACCTTAGGTATTACACGATAAAACACGTGAGATGGCACAAAGAAGGAGAGATTGAAAATAAGTGAACTGAGATTTCAACTCAAGAAGATAGAAAGAGAACATGAAAATAAGCTCAAAGTATGAGGAATTATTAAAGATAAAAGTAGACATTTGTCATCAAATACAAAAAAACCCCAGCAATTGACTAGTAAAACTAATAAATCTGGTTATTTGACTAGTCCAATAAAACAGACCAATCTTTGGCAAGTCTGATGAAGAAAGAAAGGGAGGGAGAAAGGAAGAGAGACAGAAAGAGGAAAATACAAATAAACAACATTGGGGTCATAACTACAGATAAGGAGATTTTAACAAGTGTTGAAAGTATAAATGTTCAAACTTGCAATAATAAATTTGAACAGTCACACGAAATAGATATTTCATTAGAAAATATCAATCACCACAATTAACTCGAGATGTGGAAACTTCAACAGACCTACCATAATTACAGTAGGAAGTAGAAAGGTATTTGAGGAGGTATTCCCCAAATGGCATCAGGTCTAGATGGTTTTATAGGTGATTTCCACCAAACCTGCAGAGAACAGAAAATCTCTATGATTTCTAACTTTTCCGGAGAATATAAAAATTTCCAACTTATTTTACAAGGGCAGCATAACTCTAATAACAAAACAAACAAACATAAAAAAATGAAGGCCCTCAAAAGAAATCTACAAATCACTCCTATTTTCTAATTTAGATGTAAAAGTTCTGAATAAAATGTGAGCATGCCAAGTTAGAATTATATTAAAAGAATAATCCATAATGGCCAATTAGGGTTAATCCCAAGCATTCAAAAATGCAAAATTAGAAGAAATTCGGGACATTGACACTTGAAGAAAGTAAAACATAGGATCGTTTTAGTAGGTGCTAAAGCATATGAATGTCTTTTCTATGTCGGCCAAATCTTTCAACTTAAGAATCTTTGGAGAAGCAGAATTGCCTCCTGTTAAAGAAGCTGAAAATGCCAGATGCTTGCTTCCCTGGCCTCCCTTGCAGCTGGGCCACAGGTGCATGACCAGTCAGACTCACACCCAGACTTTGAATCAGGAGATGATATCACAAGGAGTAAGGGTGCTGCAGGATTCTCTCTCTGCGACAGGGAGGTTGTGCTGGCTCAGCAGCTGGAGGGGTGCAAGCTTCAGTGACCTGGTCTTGCAGCAGGAGCAGAGTTTTGCTCACCAGACTGGTTCTGCAGCCTCATTCTGGGCCCCATTCCTGGCTGACACACTTCCAAGTCTGGTTCTCTAGCCCTCACTGAGAAGTCTGTGAAGTAGCCAATGTAATTTTTTTTTCAATTTTTCCTTTTTCTCCCAAAGCTCCCCGGTACATAGTTGTGTATTTTTAGTTGTGGGTCCTTCTGGTTGTGGCATGTGGGATGCCGCCTCAGCATGGCTTGACGAGTGGTGCCATGTCCACACCCAGGATTCGAACTGGTGAAACCCTGGGCCGCTGAAGCAGGGTGCACAAACTTAACCACTCGGCCACGGGGCCGGCCCCCGCCAATGTATTTTTAATAAACTCCTTTTCAGCCTAAATTAGCCAGAACATTTTCTGTTGCTTACCACTAAAAACTCTAACTGATACAATGCAGCAAAACCCAACAGCCTCAGGGCCCTTACTCCACGTCATGGCCTCTCTCTATGCAACTTCCCACCTCACTTCCTGCTGCTTACAGTCTCATTTTCTCTACATTTTCAAATACATTTTGCAGCCAGCAAATTATACAAACAGCAAGTCTATGGATTAACTGCATTTGGCTCAAGTGTCCACCTCTTGTCTGCCACCAGTGGGGAGCAGACAGGGGCAGGCTCATGTGGTTGCATGGTGCTCCTCCTGGGGGACAGGAGGTGGGACATTTTCCTCATTAGAAAGGGCAGTAGGGGCTGGCCCCACAGCATAGTGGTTAAGTTCAGTGTGCTTCGCTTTGGCGGCCCGAGTTCACAGGTTCGGATCCTGGGCACAGACCTACATACAAAATAGAGGAAGACTGACAAAGACGTTAGCTCAGGGCTAATCTGCCTCAAGCAAAAGAAAAGAGAGAGGAGGGCCGGCCCGGTAGTGCAGTGGTTAAGTTTGCATGTTCTGCTTCAGCAGCCCGGGGGTTGCCGGTTCTGATCCCAAGTGCAGACCTACATACCACTTGTCGAGCCATGCTGTGGTAGGCGTCCCACACGTAAAGTAGAGGAAGATGGGCACAGAGTTAGCTCACTACCAGTCTTCCTCAACAAAAAGAGGAGGATTGATGGCAGATGTTAGCTCAGGGCTAATCTTCCTCAAAAAAGAAAAAAGAAAGGGCAGTGGACCAACAGACATGGTGGCTGACTTTCTGAAATAGGCACGTAACCTGGTCTTGGGAAGTGCTAAAAGGCTTTCCAGAGGAAGAAATTCTTGGCTGCAACTTTCCAGATAAGTAAGAGTTAGGCAGAAGGGGATGAGGGGTGAGAAGAGAGCTGGCACAGAATGAGAATGATCTGGGGCCAGTCCGGTGGCGCAGCGGTTAAGTTCACATGTTCCGTTTTGGTGGCCTGGGGTTTGCCGGTTCAGATCCCGGGTGCGGACATGGCACCACTTGGCAAGCCATGCTGTGGTAGGCTCCCACATATAAAGTAGAAGAAGAGGGGCACGGATGTTAGCTCAGGGCCAGTCTTCCTCAGCAAAAAGAGGAGGATTGGTAGCAGATGTTAGCTCAGGGCTAGTCTTCTTCAAAAAAAAAAAAAAAATGAGAATGATCTCGAGTGAAGTGTGGAGTGTTAAGAGATGGAGCTGGACAGGTAGGAAGATCAGATCACACAGGATCCTGTAGGCCATGTTAGGGATCTAAGACTTCCTCCTGAGAGCTATAAGGAGCCACTGATGAGTTTCAAGCAGTGGAAGGATATGAGCAAATTTGAAGTTCTGAAGGACCACTCCAGTGGGGAATGGGGAGAAGAAGGGAAGTCAGAAAGCTGGGAGACCAGCTGGGAGCTGAGCAGTGAAGCAGTAGAGACAAGATGGCCCCCTGGATTAGGAATGGTGGCAGCAGGGATGGAAAGAAGTGGATTTGAGAGAGATTAGGAGGTAAAGTCAGTGGGACTTGGTGAGAGGTTGGATGTGGGAATGAAGGAGGGGAGGCATTAGGATGACTGCCAAGGATTTTGTTTGTATGGACTGAATGGGTAGATAAATGAGTAGATGAGGGTACCATTTCCCAGGCTGGACAACACAAGAGGATAAGCTATTTGGAAAGAGATGACAAGCTCAGGTTTGAACATATTGTTTTAGTGCCTGTGGGACATCCAAGAAATTCTAAAGGCAGTGGGGTATATGTGTTTGGGTCTCAGGAGAGGGGTCTGGGCTACAGATAAAGATTTGAGAGTCACTGGGGTTGGGGTGGTAGTTGAAGGCAAGGGCATGGATGAGGATAGTCTCAGGTGTTTGTATAGCATAAGAAGAGGGCCAAAGGCCAAACTCTGGGGGAAGGTTAATTTTTCTTAAAGGACAGAGGAAGAGGAATCCACAAAGGAGATTGAGAAGGGCCAGCTAGAGAAGTAAGAGGAAAACAAGGAAAATTAGTGCCATGAGTCCCAGGGTGGGAGTGGCCATGGGGATGCAGGCTGCAGAAAACAAGTAAGATCATAAAGGAGAGGTGTCCAGTGGATGCAGAGGAGTGGGGGGCACTGGTGACCTTGGCAATAACTAACCCAATGGAGTGGGGCTTGGGGGGAACCAGACTAGAATGGAGTGAAGACAGAGGGAACAAGGATTAAAATTAGGCAACTCTAAGAATGTAGCTCTGAAGGGGAAGTGAGAGTGGCAGCTGGAGAGGTTTTTAAGAGCTGGATGAGGGTGGTGGTTGGAGGAGTCACTCTCAATCTCCCCAGTGTAGAAGGAAAGTGGGAAAGAGTAGAGCCAAAAGAAGGGCTTAGGGGAAAGTTGTGGAAGGAGGTGATAAGGGCCTATGTCCGGGAGGGAGACTGTTCTGCAGGTCACAGGAGTCCCTATCAGGCTAGCATTTCCTCTCAGTCCCCACCCCCTTCCTGCCTTCCCTGGAGCTGGAAGAGAGAAGAACCGAGTCACACCCTAGAAGAAGCCCTGTGCCTTCAGAGGTCTTTCTGCCTGCCTGTAAGCTGGGCTTGGGGCTGGGGGAGGGGGGGTGAGGGAGGGATAAGAGCCAAAGACCTGGAGCTAGCAGTTTAGGCTTTGGGGGGCAAGGGTAGGAGAGGGGAGTGGAGAGATTGGGAGGTGTGGGAGCTGAGTTTCTGGAAGGGATCCTGGAGGCGGCAGTGGGGGCTAGGGCCTGGGGGAATAATGCTGGGGGCCAGTGGGCTGCCCACTCAAGCCCCCCTCGCCGACAGGTCCCCATGCCTCTCCTCTTCCTGCTGCTCCTGCTGCCAAGCCCTTCACACCCCGAATCTATCTGTGAGGTCTCCAAAGTGGCCAAGGTGGAAGTGAACTGTGATAATCGGAGGCTGAAGACGCTGCCTCCCGATCTGCCAAAAGACACAGCTATCCTCCACCTGGATGAGAATCCCCTGGGCAGCTTCTCTACGTCCTCCGCGGTGTTTCTGACTCGCCTCACTCAGCTGTACCTGGTTAAATGCCAGCTGACCACGCTGACGACTGACAGTATGCTGCCACTGCTGGATACCCTGGATATCTCCCACAACCAGTTGAAAGGCCTGCCCTTGCTAGGACAAGCACTGCCAGCACTCACTACCCTGGATGTCTCCTTCAACCAGCTGACCTCCTTGTTTCCTCATGACCTGAATGGCCTGAGCAAACTCCATGAGCTCTCCCTGCGTGGCAATAAACTGAAGAGTCTGCCCCCTGATCTATTAAGGCCCACAGCCCAGCTGAAGAAGCTCAATCTGGCTGAGAACAAGTTGCAGGAGCTGCCCCCTGGGCTCCTGGATGGGTTGGAGGACCTCGACACCCTCTACCTCCAACAGAACTGGCTGTACACAATACCAAAGCGCTTCTTTGGGGACCTCATCCTGCCTTTTGCTTTTCTCCACGACAACCCCTGGAAGTGCAACTGTGAGATCCTCTATTTCAAGCACTGGCTGGAGGCCAATGAGAAGAATGTCTACGTATGGAAGAACGGTACAGATGTCAAGGCCATGACCCCCAATGTGGCAAGTGTGAGATGTGACAACCAACCCGTCTACACCTACGCAGGGGAGGGCTGCTCCACCGCTGGTGATGAGGACATAGACTATGATGACTATAGAGAGGAGGTGACGACCATGAGGGGTATGGTCAGCTTCTCTACCAACACTGAAGCCAATACAACCCACCAAGGCCTACTCTACTTAGAACCTAGTGCTTCTCTACAGAGCCAAATGCCCTACTTGCCCCCAACCGAAGAGTCCACTAAGAAACAGACCACATTCCCATACATCACAGAATTCATCAGATTCTCCAAAATGTCAAAAAGCTCTACTGAACCCACCACAATGCCGACCACCCCAGAGCCCACAACCCCAACTACCCCAGAACCCACCACCACCCCAAGTACCCCAGAGCCCACCACCACCCCAGAGCCCACCACCCCCCCAGAGCCCACCACAACCCTGACCACCCCAGAGCCCACCACCACCCCAGAGCCCACCACCATGCCGACCACCCCAGAGCCCACCACAACCCTGACCACCCCAGAGCCCACCACCCCAGAGCCCACCTCAGTCACTACTAACTTAGAATCCACAAAACCCACGACTGATATCAACTCCTTGATGGTCCTTGGGGTGGGTCAAGAGAATTTGGATAGCTCTAGAAATGACCCTTTTCTCAACCCTGACTTTTGCTGCCTCCTCCCCTTGGGCTTCTACATTTTGGGTTTCCTCTGGCTTCTCTTTGCCTCTGTGGTCCTCATCCTGCTGCTGACCTGGGTCCAGCACGGGAAACCACAGGCCCTGGACTTTGGCCAGTCTGCTGCCCTGGCCACGGCCACACACACCACACATCTGGAGCTGCAGAGGGGAAGGCAAGTGACTGTGCCCCAGGCCTGGCTGCTTTTCCTTCAAGGGTCACTCCCCACTTTCCGCTCCAGCCTTTTCCTGTGGGTACGGCCTAATGGCCGCGTGGGGCCCCTGGTGGCAGGACGGCGGCCCTCTGCCCTGAGTCTGGGTCGTGGTCAGGACCTGCTGGGTACAGTGAGCATTAGGTACTCCGGCCACAGCCTCTGAGGGGGGTGGTTTGGGGACCTTGAGAGAGGCTCTGATGGGCTTTCCTACTAGGATCTAGCTGGAGGGGGGAGGCGCTGTGAAGGGGAAAGGAGCACAGGCTCAGTGGAAGGTCTTCATTACTTTTCCTTCGTCAGAAGCCTCCTCTTCACACCACAGGCACACAACCCAGACCCATAAGTCAGGAGTAGTGAGATGGAGTGGGGTGGCCCACAGAACCAAGCTCCCAATGCCACATGGTTTTGTTTTGTTTTTCCCCACTTTTGGGGTTACTACCCCATCACTTTTGGGAAGTTTTAGGAAAAAGCAAATAAATAGAATAGGGCGTGGTTCTGACATGTATCTGCATTTTGAAGAAAACTTGGAAAGAGATTTATCAAGATGTGAGCCCTGATTCTCTGGGTAGGATAGATATGGATGGTTTTTCATTTTCCTCTGCTTAGCATTTTCTAGTTTTCCACCATCGTGTATTATTGGTATAATAAAAAATAATTTAAAGAAGAAAATTTGGTTTCTTTTGGAGAGGGAGAGTGGCTGGGGCACCTGTCACCAGCATCTCAGGCCCCAACTGCCCCCCGCATGCCTTACGCTACTCGCCCAAACAGCTCTAGTCTGAGCCTGCACTTCCCCCACCTGGTGCCTCCTTCTCTCCTCCAGGGGTGACCACCCACCAGGCCACCCCAAGCTCCAGGTCCAGCTCAAGAACCATGTTTCCCTGGAGCTTTGTGACATTGCTGAGGCCTGCCTGCAGCCTGCAGTATTAGGAGTGAAGGTGGGTGTCTGTTCACACTTGTGGCCTCAGAAATGCAGCTCTCCTGCTCTGCCCAGGTCAGAGGGACAGAAGGGTGTGGGCCTGGTGGTGTGTGCCACCTTGGTGGGTTTTACTGAATAGTCCTGGGTTTCCTGCTGTCAAGCTAGGACACAGACAAATGGAACCCACTGCTCTCCATTGTGCGATAGATTCTGCCATTCCCTTTACCACGCTGGGTGGGGCTTTCTCTGCAATCCAAGGACTGGGGCCCAGAGAATGGGAGTGAAGCCTGAGCCTTTCTGGCTCCACAGACCCCCTCCTCCAGACGGTGTTGGAAGAACTTCTTATCTTGAAAACCTGACTGCATCTCTCCCCTGCTTTGAACTCTTCTCCCGGTAGAGGACAAACTCTTGAGTTTGGCGATCAAGGACTTGTGTGCACTGACCCCACCTCACAGTTCAGCTTTGACAGACTTCACAAACTTTGCATAGATCACCTGTTCCCCAGCATTTCTCCTCTAAGCCTCTGCTCTCAGATCAGCCAGAAGTGCGGCCCCATCCCCTTCCCCGACCAGCCTAACTGCTACTGTGCACAGGTCTCTCCTCCCCCAGGCTGGGCCAGGTGCTCCAAGTAATGGTCTATTGCTACACTCCCAGTTTCCCAACTGCTCCTGTGTCATCTTCCCTTCTGGACCTGGAACTCCTTAAGAACAAGGTCCAGCCTCCAAGTGTCTCAAAGTGGCCACTGTGGCCCAGGCTAGCATGTGCAAGGAGGGGGTAAGCAGAGCCGCAGAGGTGGGAGGGCCCAGCAGGGACGCCAGGCGGCGAGGCACCACCTCCTCTTCTATTGAGGAGGCCCTGCCAAGGGGGAAGCTCCCACCTGCTGCCTGCCTGTCCCCTGGCCTGGCTCAAGGCCTTCGGGCCTCCCGCTGCCCAGCCCTCCTTCCAGTTGACCTTCCCATGCCCTTTTATGCCCCAAGAGGCTGTTGGGCTCCTTGAGGGCAGGGCCTGGGAATCACACATCTCCTTCTAAAGAAACAGATACGGCAGAACTCCCCCCAGCCGGGGGCCCAGATCAAGTCTCTAATACCACCCTCGCTTTCCTCAAGCCTCCAGGCTTTGGGGTCCTGCCCCTGCATTCCCACAGGCCAGCTTCCCCTCAGAGCCTCGTGATTCCCTCCCTTCTCAGGCTGCAGAAGCAGTCACAACCCCACAGGCTTTTTCCTGGGAGAACGTGAGCCGACTCATGCATCTGTCTGTGGCAAGTGGCTGGGAAGAAGCCCCCAGGGCCTGAGTCTTGGTTTTCCTCACCCCCGTCAACTGCTGCAGCAAGACTCATTTACATAGCATTTGCGTAAAACCAGCGGGTGCTTGTCTTTAATAATTTTTCTTAAAAACTCCAGGTCCTGTTCTTCAGGGGCAGCTGCTTCTTTGTCCAGTCTCCTCTCCCACCTGCCCCCACAACTCTCCAGATTTGGGGTGGTGTCATCAATCCAATTTATTGATTACGTCCTCAGTGAGGTGCAGGGAGGGCCATGTCCTCCCCCTGCAGACCCTTTGACCATCTTGACAGCTTCTGCTCTCTCCTGTCCCCTCGGCTCTGCCTCGGTTTCCCCACTGAGAAGGGGCGGATCTTTTGCTGTCCTATGTGTCCTGAAACTAACACCCAAGAGGAGGCCAGAAATCCTCAGGGAGTCTCCCAACTCCCCCCAAGGCACCGGCAGGGACAGAGAGGTCATGAGGATCAGGACAAGCAGGGCAAGCTGGAGCAGGGGTGGGACAGACCAGTCCTTTACCGCAGAGGGGGCACCACACTGTGGAGGGAAAATAAATAGAGGGGCCCAGGCAGCAGAGTCCAGGCCCCCCGGGGGTGCACTGACTGCAGGAGCAGCGGGCGAGTGGGAGCCCCAGCACACCGGCTCCAGGCCCCTCGCCCACCTCAGCCACTGAGGAAGAGACGCTTGTACGCTTTGTTCATCTGCTCCAAGAAGATGAAGGTGAGGACGGTGTGGGGGCCCAGGCGGGCATAGTACGGTGTAAAGCCCTTCCACAGGCTGAAGAAGCCCTCGTAGCGGACGACCTTCACCAGCACGTCCTGGACAAGCAGGCAGGGTGCTGAGGCTAGGACCTGGCCTCTGGCACCCTGTCCCTCCTATGCAGCTACCCTCACTGCCCTCCCAGGACATCCAATCCTCCAGCCCAAGCCCCCCGCCCTGCTTCCTCACCAGTCCATTCTTGTATTCTGGCTTCCCATCAATCATTCGCATGTTCTGGATCCTGAAGGAGAGGAGGGTAGGGGCATAAGAGACATAAAGGGGGCCCTCCTATCCATCTCCAGGCCCAGGCCCGCATACTCACCGGGTCTTGACAATGTCCACTGGCATGGAGGCAGCAGTGGTGACCAGGCCGCTGATCATGCTGGCACAGAAATGGCACAGGATGTTGTCAGAGAAGTAGCCTGGGGGAGGTGGAGCAGGGGATGGCAGTCAGCTCAGAGCTGGCCCAGGCCAAGCTGGGAGCTGAGGGCCCAGCTCTGGACCTCACCTGAGTCCAGTAAGAACTGCTTGGATTGGGAGTAGGAGGCAAGCTGAGCAGCATTGACAACAACAGCCCGAGCCATGGTAGGGATGCAGCCCTGGGGTGGGAGAGCGGGAAAAAATCAGAGATGGCCGAGACCCGACCCCACATCCCCCAAGTCTCCAGCCCTTTTACTCACCCTCCATAGTGTGAGAACCCCCTCCTCCCGGACAATTCGAATCAGGGCATTAAACACATTTTTGTAGCCACGGCGCTGGTCAGCTGGAAGCCTGGTGGGAAGGCAGGGAGAGGCCAAGCTCAGGATAGACCACCCTGTCCCGCAGGAGCAAAGAAAGGGAGGCCAGAACAAGTGAATGCTCTGCTCTGGATCTAGGATAAGAAATCAATCCTTTCATTCTAGATTCCAGGGAATGGGGCTGGGGGCAGGTTCAGACCTGGAACTCACCGGCCATCGGCAGTCATGCGAATAAGAGCCACCTCAGCTGGTGTTCCCACAAAGGCACCAGTTGCACCTGCAGTCATGCCAATCACAGCCTTCAGCAGAAAGCCTGGGGGTGTACCATCAGCCCCAGTCAGGCGCTCAAACAGCACGGTATAGATGCCAAGGCGAGTAGTGGTGTAGGTAGCCTGGCGCAGCAGGCCAGCTGACAGCCTGGGGAGTGAAGGGGTCAGTGCATCAGGCCAAGGTCTGGAGCTGCCAACCACACCCTATCCCTCATTTCATGGTATGCCCCCAATACCCAGTGTAAATGCCCCTCAGTCCTTCTGCCCTCAGGATGCTGGTGAGGGCATGGAAGCTGGTTTTGTATTCTCGTGTCTTGGCTCCTTCCCCACTCAGCTGCATCCGATTCTTCACCAGGTCCAGGGGTTGCACAAAAACTGTAGCTCCCATCCTGGAGGAAGACAGGGGTGGAGTCAAGGGCCAGGTGTCCCAGATCTACCAATGCCCAATGGAGCCTGGCAACAAGGGGTCACAAAGGGCAGGGCCTGCCATGCGATTGTCTAAGTGCTCAGGAGGCTGACGGGCATGTATATGAGTCTCTGTGTGTACCAAGAGCAATGGGTCTGAAAAGTCCAGGAGTCCAGGAGAGGCCAGGCAATCATCAAAGTGCTCCATGCAGCTCCAAGGAGGTCAAGCAGTGACCTGGGACCACATGCAGTCTGACCCAGGAAAGAGAGGTGGGCACTCATGACCTGAGCCTCCACATAGACCAGGAGAAGCCCCACGCAATGACCTGAAACCCCATACAGCCCGGCAGAGCCAAGCAATGGTTTGGGAAACTCAGGTAGCCTGACAGGGACTATGCAATAACCCTGCATGCAGCCCAGTAGCGGCCCTGCAATGGGTGAAAAGATCCTGGCAGGGCATCAAGGACCTTGCAATACTCTGGGGACTGCGCCGACCCCATGCCGGCTCAGTTCACTGCAACAGACCCAAGGATGAACAGGGCCCAGTTCCTCGCACCCGTCCCATCATCCTCCTTTCCCATCCCTGGGGCCTGAGCTTACCCGGCCAGGCCCCCAAACAGGAACTTGACGGACTTAGGGGAGGTGCGGGCCTTCGCGTCCATCCCGCCAGCCCCGGGACTCGCCGTCGCCGCCATCGCCACTCAATGGCCCCCGGCTCCGAGTCCCGTGCGCGCGCGGCCACGCTCGCGCCCAAGGTGACACCGCGCGCGCAACAGGGGGAGGGCGCGCGCGCGCGCACGCCCCTCAAGCTCTCACGATCAGCATAAGCTGGAAGCTGGCGCAGGCGCAGGCGAGCAGCGCAAAGGCGGCCGGGAATAAGGCGGAGCTAAAGGAGGGGCTTCAAGGATGGGTACGGGAAGGGGTGTGGCTGATTTAGAAAGCCAGAGCGGCGACGCAGTTTTCACCGAATTGGAATCGCGGGAAAATAGAGAGGAGCTTATTTGAAGATCTCGCGAGATCGAGTGAGGTAGGCGAGCCAGAGTCAGGAGATCTCTCGCGACAGACGCAGGAAGCTTTCAGCTGGTGGGAGGGAAGTCTGGTCAGGACTCTCGCGAGACCTGAAGGTACCGCAGCGGCGGCGGCCAGAGGGAGGACAGGTTCGTAAACTGGGCAGCTCCAGGATCCCGGGCACTAAGCGGGAAACGACTAGGTCGTCTTCTGGGGCTTCAGTGCTCCTTCCATCTTCACACGCACTGCCTCCACCTCTAACCTTTCTTTTAACCGGCCTTTTAGGACCGGAAGTCCTTCATCTCGAGCGTCCAATGCTGGAAGCGGCCTGACTTTCTTTACCGGAAACCCTTTTCCAGGGGATAGGAAGACGGCCCACCTGGCCGGAAGTCCCACCTCCTGGAGCTCCCCGACCCTTCCAGAAGTTTTTCTATCACCTGTGTTTGCCTCTGTCCGCTTTCCCCATTTTTATCCCTATTCCAGAAAAGGATATATTTAGTCTCCCTCCCAGCGCCACTAAACGGGTTGGATATATCACTCCCCGAGTCAGGGTTCCTTCCCCGCGCCCCCATGTAGCTGGGAAGTGGGACCTGGGGGTGGTTGGACCCCTGGGATCCTGAAGCGGGGCGGAGAGGAGGCGGAACTCCGCATCTGCTCCTGCTACCGAGACGCGGCCTCCTTAGCCTCTCCCCTCCCGCTGCCATGCACCCTGCGGCCTTCCAGCTTCCTGTGGTTGTGGCCACTGTGCTGTGGGGAGCAGCCCCCATCCGGGGGCTCATTCGAGCGGTGAGTCTGAGGGGCAGATGAGGGAAGGGCGCTCAAGAGAGAGGTGGCATGCTGAAGGGGACCATGGACTCTCTTGTCCGCAGACCTCGGACCACAATGCCAGCATGGACTTTGCAGACCTTCCAGCTCTTTTTGGGGCTGCATTGAGCCAGGAGGGACTTCAGGTGATTTTCTTACCTTTTTCCTGTTTCCCTAAATTCTCCATCCTTAGTAGGGGTTGAGGAACCTTGCCTTTTGGTAAAAGCTGGAAGTAGGAAAAGAGTCCACTTAGGAACTAAATGCACAAGCACATCCAGGGTAGAATCTAGAGGGAGAAGACAAAGTCTGCCCCTAGAACTCTAAGCCTTACAGGAAGAGGGCGCATGGACTATGATAAAAGGCAGGGCAAAGTGGTGCTTATCAGTAGAGTCTCTGGAGCTCCGTGGGTCATTGGTTCTATGACCTTTGACAAGTTTATTCTCTCTCTGAGCCTTAGTTTGTTTTCCTGTAAAATAGGATAATAGAAATTATCTCAGGGTTATTATGGGGATTAAATTAGATAAATAGTTTTATAGTACTTCATCACAAAGACTGCCACATAGTAAGAACTCAGTTGGGTCATAGATATCAGTATGCTTGTTTGTAAGAGGAGTATTTGGAAAATTAAAGGGAGGTGTTAAAGAACAACATTCAACCAAATTAATTTTAAAGATCTTACTGGCTGTACCCAGTGACTGATGAATCGGCCAGCATCCCGTCTGGTAGATAGCAAGGAGCTCCCAAGAACTGTACAAAGTAAAAGACTTTTATAGGCAGAAGGGGACCAGACAAGGAAGTTATACTAGCAAAAAGCTGATTGTGGCAAGACCAACTTTCTTTAGGAGACAGCAGGGGTCTGTCAGGCAGATTACCTCACTGATGCTGACCAGGTAATTCCAGATTGACTGGTTTAAGATTCCATTCCTGGGGGAGGCTGAAACTGTAATTAAGTTACTTACCAAGTCTTGATTCGGTAATGGTGGGGCTTAGCACGAGTTACTACATTTTGGGCCTGTTGTCTTTTTTTTTTTAACAGAGGGGAGTATGTTCTGTATAAGTATGTACCAGAGAAGGGAATGTGAAACAGAACTTGAGAGAAAGTGACATGGATGAGTGGAGAATTGAATTACAATCAGTGGGAAACTGGAAGGCAGAAGAATTTGAATCAGCTTGGAGTAGGGGTATAGATTAGCTCATTTGGGACAGAGAGAGGGATATTGGGAGGGTCGGTAAAGGGAGGGTTGGATGTCATTGCATCTTCAGGAGGCTAAGAGAACAGGTAGACTTCTGGCTCAGGCCAGATGCTCAGGCCCCAGGAATGAGAAGGAAGTGAGGAATAGAAGACATGCAGCTTGTGAGAGCCAGTGTGCTTGGTGGGGCCCTGTGGGGAGCAGAACCTAGGGAGGTGAAATCCAGCTGTTGTTTGCTTTTCTTCTCCAGGGCTTCCTTGTGGAGGCTCACCCAGCCAATGCCTGCAGCCCCATTGCCCCACCACCCCCAGCCCCGGTCAACGGGTCAGTCTTTATTGCACTGCTTCGAAGATTCGACTGCAACTTTGACCTCAAGGTTGCTGAATGTGGAGTGGGAGCTGGGAAGCTGAGGGTAAAAAAAAAGCACCAGGAATGAAGGGAGGTAAGGCCCATGATGGCTCCTTATCTCCTGCCTTGTCTCCCTAGGTCCTAAATGCTCAGAAGGCTGGGTATGGTGCAGCTGTGGTACACAATGTGAATTCCAATGAACTTCTGAACATGGTGTGGAATAGTGGTAAGGCTGGGGTATTTGGACAGCTGGGTTTTCAGTAGTGCTCAGACTGAGAGATGGTGAAAGGGCTGAAAGTGTAGGGAAAAGAAGTCAGTCCTTTGGGTGGAATGGGGCAAAAGAGCCAAATGCTAGGGTTACTAAAGGATTTGAGTGGAAGGTTGGGTCCCAGTGTAATGCCCTGATCCTTGCAGAGGAAATCCAGCAGCAGATCTGGATCCCATCTGTGTTTATTGGGGAGAGGAGCTCCGAGTACCTGCGTGCCCTCTTTGTCTATGAGAAGGGGTAGGACATGTCCCTCCTTCCCCCTTTTCCTTCAGCACTTCAATGCTAACCTGGAGCCCAAGCCTCAGTGCCCCCACCATTCAGCCTCAGCCCTTCCTACTTACTCTGCCTCTTGACTTTCTTCCCACCCCCTTTCCCATCCACGGGCCTTGTCCAGAGCCAGGTACTTTGTTCCTCTGCCTTTCCTGCCCTTCTGATACTGGTCTTCCTATTCCCAGGGCTCGGGTGCTTCTGGTCCCAGACAATAGCTTCCCCTTGGGCTATTACCTCATCCCTTTCACAGGGATTGTGGGACTGCTGGTTTTGGCCATGGGAGCAGTGATGGTGAGTAGCTCAGGGAGTATGATGGGAAGAGCCAAGGCCTTTAAAGCCAGGCTGGATCTGAAGTTGGGAGGTGGAATGGTTTCTACTGGATTGTCCAGTTCTGTTCCCTAAGCCTGGTCCATCCACTCCCACTCTCCCCAGATAGTTCGTTGTATCCAGCACCGGAAACGGCTCCAGCGGAATCGACTGACCAAAGAGCAGCTGAAACAGATTCCTACACATGACTATCAAAAGGGTGAGGGGGAAAGGGGAGAGGAGAGCCTTTCCCACAGCTTACCTCGTTTTGAAGGAATTTGAGCCCAGGAGATAAGGGGCAAAGAAAGATGGCAGGGAGAAGGTATCAGCCTGAGATGCCATTTTTCTTCCTCCTTCCCATACATACAGTGAGGACAGGATAGGAGTAGAGCAGGAGATGGAAGGCAAAAATGACTAAGTGGAATAGTTGGGGGAAATGATGGAGGCCCAAACTTGTTTATAAGGGAGAAGGTGGGGGACTGGCCCAATGGCATAGTGGTTAAGTTCACGTGCTCCGCTTCAGTGGCCCGGGGTTCACAGGTTTGGATCCTGGGTGCTGACCTAGCACCACTCGTCAAGCCATGCTGTCCGGTATCCCACATAAAATAGAGGAAGATGGGCACAGATGTTAGCTCAGGGCCAATCTTCCTCACAAAAGAAAGAAAATAAGGGAGAAAGTGGAGAGAGAAGAAAAATGGAAGGAATGGGGAGGATTGAGTCTGAGAAGGAAGAAACAGGTAAGGAGGGGCTGGGTCTTCAGGCCCTGGAGCCTCCAGTGCCCATATAAGGCTGTAACAGAAGCCCTGCCCCCCCATTTCCGCTCCTCCCACTCCCTGTCTCTCCACCCTTACACCTCCCTCCAAAAAACCCACTTCCCGTCTTACCTCTGCTGCTCTTTGCTTGTCCATTCTAACTCCAAATTCCTCATGTTCTACCCTGGCCTTACCCTGCCCGTCTTAGCACTTCCAGTGGTTCTGTAAAACCAGGGAAACTAACTTTTGCAGGGTTTAGCTCCACCAGAGGCCTCCCAGAGTGAGTTCTTGTGGGCTCTGTCCAGGATGGCTCAGTAAAAGGACTCCTTTCGTCCTTAGGAGACCAGTATGATGTCTGTGCCATCTGCCTGGATGAATATGAGGATGGAGACAAGCTGAGGGTGCTCCCCTGTGCTCATGGTGAGGCCCTCACTTCCTGTGTCCAGGTCCCTGTTCCACCAGCAGGCACCAGGTGCTTCACCTCATTCTCTTCTGCAGCCTATCACAGCCGCTGTGTGGACCCCTGGCTCACTCAGACCCGGAAGACCTGCCCCATCTGCAAGCAGCCCGTTCATCGGGGTCCTGGGGACGAGGAGGAAGAAGAAACTCAGGAGCAAGAGGGTGATGAGGCAGGGGAGCCAAGGGACCACCCTGCCTCGGAACGCACCCCACTTCTGGGCTCCAGTCCCACACTTCCCCCCTCCTTTGGCTCCCTAGCCCCAGCCCCCCATGTTTTTCCTGGGTCTTCCCCGGATCCTCCAGCCTCTCCTTCCTCCTCCTCCTCTTCAGTTGCCATCCTGGTCTAATGCTCCCCTCACCCCTCCACTTCTGCTGACCTGTTTGCACAGCTCCTCCTCCTCCTCCTCCCAGTCTTCTATGTTGAGAGATAGGGGACATTTCCGCCCCAGGTTTCTCCCTTACCGAACCCCATCCTTTTGAGGGGGTTGAGAGTGCAAAGGGACTGGGTCTTCACTTACTGAGTTAATAAAATTGTTTTTGTGGACTAAGGCAGGGTGAGATCCTTCTCACACAAGTGAACTTATTATCCTTTTGGTGAATTGCCCCTTTTTTGCCATAAAGGGGCAGGGGAGTGCTAGCAGACTAACCTGTAGTCATGGGGACAACCCCAGCAGGCATTTGTTGTGACTCAAAGAGGGGGAGCCCCACCCACACATGAGGATGACTCAACTGGCCCTGCCTTTCCCGCAGGCCTGGACCCATTCTCTGTCTGGATGGCTCTATTCCATTATCCACCAATTCCTCTAGGACACTGCCGACCTAGGGCTGGAAATGCCCCCGTGGAAGGGCTGGGCCAGCTGGCTAGGTAGGCCTGAAGCAGGTGCTTAGTCCTGGAAGTAGTGCCTCAACACTCTTGCTCCTAACCCCAAGCCAGGATAAAGGAGGCAGGTATAGAGAGTGTCCTCCATCCTGACACCCAGGCTAAAACCACACAGCACCTTGTTAGTAGAATCTTTTTTATTCAGAAAAAAAACCCAAAAAACAAAAAAGTTTTCCAACCACACACAGGAGGGGTATGGGTAGGGGGAGGTGTCTGTCCATCCAGCCCCGGCCCCCAGCCCATGTGGTTTTGGCAGCAATAAGGGATGTGGGGTAATGGCCCCAAAAATAAAAATGGTGTATGTGTGTGTATGGGAAGGGAAGGAAAGGGGTGCAAAAGCAGTGGGGAGTGGTGGAGGGAAGGGACAGACGAGGTCAGTACTGGGAACGCCGCAGGTGGGAGGCCATTTCATAACATTTCTTGTTGATCATACCACCGTGGACACCTTCTTTGCCCATCAGCAGGACTAGCGCTAGAGGAAAGAGAAAGAAGGCTAGGACCCAGGTGTCACAATTCCACCCCCTGCCAGCTGTTCAGCAGCTGTCCAGCCCTGGGGGCTGTAACCCAACCTCATCTCTCCCAACCCCGCCCCCCCACACACAGGCAGGCTGTCAGTCACCCTGAAACAATAGGGCTTTTCAAAAGGGGAAAATCAAGCTTAAAGGCTGGAAAGGAACCCGCTAAAATTTAGGGGTCAAAGGCGTGTAGACTGTTGACTCGTGTTAAGGCTAGAAATGGCTGTAGAGGAGCCTGCCGCCTCCGAGTTTTAACAGAAGGCTCAAAAGATGAGAGCTAAGTGCGGACTTACGACCAACAGTCTACCTCCTCCAAGGAAACAGGGAGTTTCTCGTCCGAAAAGGCTCAAGGCAGGAAGGAACTTAAGAGGTAATACAGTTCAACTTCTTTATATTACAAGATGAGGAACTGAGACAGAACTGGAGGGACTATCCAGAGTCCCAGCATCCAGCAGGCTGGGAGCCAAAGCTGGTCTGGTCCCTTCATACTGAGGAGGAACCACACAGAAAAAGCAGCCAAAAAATTAACAGGAGGAGGTACACTAGGGACCTTGGAGCTAGTAAGATTCAGAAACTCACTCTTGGCAGTCATGGTGACAGTGATGTTGAAGGTGGGGGCTCCGCCGGTGCTCTTGGTACGAAGATCCATGGTAAATTCTCCATCCTGCAGCAGTGAGTCCCGGATCACAGAACATTTCTGGCCCCCAAGTGTCAGCCCATTCACGAAAAAACTTGACCGGTCTTTGCCAACCAGGACACCAACCTCAGCTGGCTGGAAGGGGAACCAAGTTAGTACACCCACCGAGTTACTATACTAAGGTTCCCATTATCTCCAAGGACCCACCTGCCTTCCACTTCCCAGAACTAGAGCCCCCCGGTGGGGAGAGGCATAGGTTATGTGCTTTGTACACAGGACTGTTAGAAGTCAGTGCACAAAAAGATTATGATCCTCAAACCTAGGGAATAGTAATAGGAAGGGACAACATGCTTCCTTTGGAGACTTAGACCTGGTTTAATAGGGAAAGCAAACCCAGGAAATAGAGGGCGAAAAGCCAGTGAGGATAGTGCAGTAACACGGAGTGGGGAGCCTTTGGATGCTCAGAACTCTCCTTCAGGAAAAGCAGAAGCGAAGAGGGGAAGGGAGGGGGCGGGCTAAGCAGGAGAAGCAGCTTTGCCCTTATTTGGTCAAAGGTTCTGCAGGAGTTGTTAGGGGCCCGGACGCCTGGGTCTCCAAGTAACCTAAGAGCTTAGGTCCAGGTTATCTATGCCCCACGATGAGGAATCAGATCCCTGGGGGCTTTCCGGGAAAGTCGGAAAACTTTTGAAGGGGGCCCGGGGCTAGACCCAGCAAGCCAGCTCTCGGGTCTAGATACCCTAGGGAACCTTTCTCCCCTCCCCCTTACACCCCAAATCCCCACATCCGGTCCCCTCCCGCCCGGAAATCCCCTTCCCCCCCTTTTGAACTTCCGCTCCCCCTCCCCACTTCCGGGCAGTGTGGACAGGGGAGGTGGTGATGGGGACAGCAGTAGTCATCCCCTATTCCTTCACTCATACTGTCCTAGAACTTCTCACAAAGTTCCCCTGCTGCAGGCCCCGCCGGATGGCGGGAAGGGAGGGCGAGGGGACTTCCGGGATTGTTCTCACAGGAATGTTGAGTCCAACATGCCGACTTCGGGGGGAGGGGGGGCGTGTGGCGGCCTCGCCCTCTCTAATGGAGTTGGGAGGGGCAGGGAGCCCAGAGGACGGGCATAGGACCCAGGCCACGCGACTGGGGCTCCCACCCGCATAAAGAGAAACAATGGTGGAGGGGGCGCGAGCGGGCGGCCGGAAGTAGAGCTGGGGGTCCACGGGTCCCCAAGTCCCCTCTCAATCACAATCCCTGGTTGAAATTGCAGCGCGTGCCCGCCTCGCCCTGGAGGAGGCGGAAGTGGGCCGCCGCACCGGGCGGCGCGCCCCTCCCCGCCCTGTGCCCCGGATGTAACGCCCCGTCGCAGAAAGCGGGGCGGCGGGCGGGACGGGCACCGCCGCCTGGGGCGTAGGACTTGGGGGGCAACAGAGGGACCCGTTCACGTGCAGCCGCCATTCATGCCGCTTCCTGGGCAAGGACCGGGTCACGGCCATCCGCTGCCCTCCCCAGACCGCGCCCGCCCCCACCCAAGTCCCTCCCTCAGCGTCCGAGCCCGGCCAGTGCCCCAGACCGCGCAGGCCTCGCAGTACCGTGATGTTGACGAAGGTTTTCCCGGGGACGGCGGCCCAGACGGAGGGCGAGTCCTTATAGCCCACGATGGCCGCGTCCTGACAGGTCCCGTCCGCCATGAGGTTGTCGATGTAGGCGTTCCACCCGGCCATGGCGCTGCTGCTGGGGCTGCTCTCGGCGCTGCTGCTGGGGCCGCGGGCTGGGCTCGGGCTGCCTCGGGCTGGCGGGCGGGGGGAGGCGGAGAGCTTGGGGCACGCGCTGCTGTCCGGACCGCGGCTCTGCTAGCTGTGCAGCAGCCCTCGCACCGCCACTTCCTGCTCCTCCCCCCCTCCTCTAGATTTTTATTTGCAAAGGGCGGTAGGGGCGGGGCCTGCTCCCCGCTCCCTCCCTCCCCCCTCTTGCCTGCCCAGATACCGAACTTTGCAAATGCAATTTTAAAAATCCCTCCCCCTATTGCAAAATTTGCAGAGTTCGAGTGAAAGCAATGTCAAAGGCTGGGGGGGGGGGGGGGGGGGGGGCAGGGAAAGGTTAGGGTTAGGGCTCGCTCCAGTTCTCATTGAATATAAACTAGTCTTTGGGATAGGGGAAGGGAGTGAGCCGGAGGGAGGAAAGAAAGTGAAAGGAGGAAGAATTAGCAAGCTGCAAATTTAGCAAATTAAAGAGGGTTTGGGGAACTCAGGGTTAAACGGAACGACTCCCCCTTCCCCCACCTCCGCCGAAGGGAAGGAACGGCGGGTGGCGGCGGCGCGTGCGCCCGCGCGTGCGCCGGGGCCGGGTGGGAAGGCGCGTGGGGCGGTTGGGGCCGGCGGCCGGCTTCGCGGGTGCGCGCCGGACGCCTCTGGCCGGACCGATTTGGACCCGCATGCCAAGGAAGGCGGGCCGGGGACGTGTCTCCCGCCGGGCGGAAGGGGCGGGGGCGAGGCGCGCGCGTTACCGCTTCTCCACTCTTGATTTTATTTATTCAAGAAACAAGGGAGCTAGGGGAATTTGACAAAATAGCCTAGCCGTTTACAGAGTTGAAGGCATCCACTGGGGACACTTGTGTCCCCAGCATCTCCCTGGGTGGCACAAGTTGGACTCACTAGAGCCCACTCCCATTCCAGGGGATTATCCCTTGCTGGATCAGTTCCAGCCCCGAGCCCCACAGCGACGTCCCAGCCCCGCCCGTCCCCTGGCCAGCAGTTTGGGTCACTGGCCGTGCCCCTTGGCCCGTCTCTGCAGAGGTCACTGGGCGCGGGCGCCCACGAGGCGAGACGGACGGGACTATTTTTCAAGGCGGAAGAATACTAAGAAGTTTCAAGATTTGCAACTTTTTCAAGAAGGGGAAAGTCCCTTCTACTTTGGACCAGTTGGGGTTTTTTTTCTTCTTCTTTTTCAGTAAAACTTATGCTAAGAACTTGCGTGCGATTAGTTCTCTCGCCTACAACTGGGAAGGGGGTGGGGCAGGACCTCGCGGCGGGCTTAGGTGAATTGGTCTCCCCTGGCCAGCCTGGCCGCCGAGGGGCTGGGCCGCTTCCGGTCCCTCGGGGGAGGGGCGCCTCCGGGGCTGGCAGGGGCGTCGTTTCTGTCTTCCTCCCGAGTCCGGCGTGGTTCCCTGCGGCCACTCCGAGCCCTTTGGGCATCCGATGCCCCCCGAGCCCGTGTTCCTCGACAGCCGGCGTGGCTGAGTCACTGGCCCGCTAGGGCAGGGCCACACTCAGGCACGTGGCAGCGCTCCCCGCCCGCCATCTCCTGACCTCTCACCTGCCGCACCCCCTACTCCCGGGTGGAAAAATCCCGGGAGGGAGCGGCCAGAGATAAGGGGGGAGGGGCGAGATGGGACATGGGGGGAGGGATCCTGGGGTGGGGGCTGACAGGCAGACTCTGCGGGGCCGGGAGGGGCACTAGGGAGAGGGCCGCGGGGGTGAGTCACCGGGCGCGGGCCGCTCCGGCGCCGGCGGGAGGGACCTCCGAGTCGGGGGCGAGGAGCCGAGGCGCCCTGTGACCCTCGCCGGCTGTCCGGCCGGCCCGAGCCTCGGCGTGCCTCCCTCTCCCGGCCGGGGCTGCTGCAGAACTCGGGGCAGCCCCACACTCCCCCCAGGCCCGCCCAGGCGGACACGGTTACCGAAAGCAGAGACCCACCTCCCTGCAATGCTCCGAGCGGACCGCCGGACTGGCCCCGGGCGTTCGGACGCTCACAAAGGGCCACTCCCCTCCTCCCGTCCATTCATTTTTTTCACTCCTGATTCAGCATCATTCATTGATGGGCTAGGACCGCGCCCTGAAGTGCCCGCAGTCGTTAGGGAAAGGGGCTCCTGACTGACAGTCTCCACGCACGGCGATAAGTGCTGTCCTAGCGCTATCAGCAGGGAGCCGCGCCAACTTTGAGGGCCCGTCTAAATTTGGCTCCCTGCTCCCTTCTCCACCCTCTTGCTGGCCTAGAGAGGGTAGGATGGGGTGGAGCCGAGAGAGGCCGCTATGAGGACCCTGAGAGGTGAGACCCTCTCGCCTTCGGAGTCGGGGGTTCAATTTTAGACCTCAGAGCTTGCCCAGAACCCCCAGCCGCCTCCCCTACTCAGGGCAGAGGCAGCTCTGCGCCCGCCAAGTGAGCTGAGCATGTGTGGATGTCAATCCTGCAGCCCCTCTTCCAGGCCCCCTCCCCAGTCCTGCAGTGCTCAGGTTACCCGTGGCCTTTCCTAAAGGGCAGTCGTTCCTCTTTAACCTTTGCAAAAGGGGAATATAATCCTGGGGAGGGGAGAGACCCCGCTAGTCTGAAGTCCCTCCCCTGCTCCTCCCCAGAGGTAGAATTAAAAGTAGGGACTTTACTGGGAGACAGAGAGAAAGGATAGGAGTGATTGGCCTTTGGGAAGGGGGCAGGTGCCCAGGGCCAAAGGCTTCTTTAGGCTGTAGTGGGCACTTGGCTACCAGCCCAGTGTGGAGGGGGAGGATGGAGAGGGAGAGAGGCGGGGCTGGCTGGGGGACAGGGAGGCTCGGGGATAAATGCCCAGCCTGAGAGGGGGTGAACTGACTGTGTCCCAGCTGCCACCAAACTCGGAGCTCACCTCAAACCTCCAGTGAAGACAACCCAGGTCTGATGAATCTTTCATCCCCGGAGGATGGGCCTTGTAAAGGGCGCGGGTGGCGCTGGCTTGGAGCAATTGAGGGAAACGTCGGCTTTTTTTCCTCCTGACACTGGGAGTGCTTGAGAAAGACTGGAGGGGTTGGAGCAAGCAGGATGGGAGTACCCAAAGAGAGGGAAATGAGACTGAAGAGAGGCAGGCAGAGATGGCGACAGAAGAGTAGTCAGAGTTGGAGGCAGGGGAGGAATTTGGGGCCCCTCGAGGATTTGGAGAAGACTGAGGAGCAGGAAAATGAGAACCAGAATAACAGGAGAGGATTTGCGGGCTAGGAAGCCATGGAGAACAGATTGCTTTACCAGAGGGTGCGGGGAGAAGGCATAAGTGCAGCCCTGTGGGAGATGGGGGTTCAGGGAGTAGTGGAATCTGGGGAGTCAGAAAAGAGAGGCCCCTGGAGTCTTAGGATGGGAGGGTGGAATAGGAGCTGTTCTGAGTGGGGGAGGGGGCTCGCCTGCCTCTTTGGTCTGTGACCTTTTTGTGGGATATTTTTAGCTCCAGCACCTGCCTTCTTGGGGTGGGGAAGACTCTTAAAGGGCAAGGGATTTTGGGTTCCTTAAGGGATCAACTGTTCGCACTCACTCACGTCTCCTGTCCTGCAGCCATGGCCATGCAGAAAATCTTTGCCCGGGAAATCCTGGACTCCAGGGGCAACCCCACGGTGGAGGTGGACCTGCACACAGCCAAGGGTAACATAGGCCCGTTGAAATGGTTTGCCTTGGAAGACCCTCAACCCCATCAGGCCTTTGTCTCCCATCTCTGTGCCACAACCTCTCCTTTTTCTGGGATCCCCTTCCCCAGAGTTCTTCCCAGGCCTTCCTCTTCTAACCCGCCTCCCCAGCGAGAAGAAGCAGGAGTGTCTGCCTCCTGCCCTGGGCTCAGAGGATACTTCGGCCCTTAGTGGGTGGATGGGGCTCCCTGTGATCTTCCAATTCCTCCTGCCCCAGGCCGATTCCGAGCAGCTGTGCCCAGTGGAGCTTCCACAGGTATCTATGAAGCTCTGGAACTAAGAGACGGAGACAAATCCCGCTACCTGGGGAAAGGTGAGGAAAGACCGACGCTGGAGGGGCCTGTGTGGGGGGTAGGTTTGAGGACAGGGGCACACAACGTCTGCATGGGGTAGAGGACTGGCATCCACAGGAGGAGACCTGATTGAATCAGAGATCTGAACCCCCACCTCTGGCCTTTCTAGGGGTCCTGAAGGCTGTGGAGCACATCAACAAGACTCTAGGCCCTGCTCTGCTGGAAAAGGCAAGTGGAGGAGCCTGCATCCCCCTCCCCCATGCCCCTGTCGCTTCATCCCAAGCAGCTCATGCCTGGGAGAGGCCAACTATTCCATCTCCCCAGACACCCGCGCTTCCCCTTCCTCTGGCACGTACCCCGGCTCCTAGGAAGCCTGACCTCTGCTCTCCCCTCCTCCAACCTGCCCTTCCAGAAACTAAGTGTTGTGGATCAAGAAAAAGTTGACAAATTTATGATTGAGCTGGATGGGACCGAGAATAAGTGTGAGTGAAGGGCTAGGGATAAGGGAAAGGGTGGGGTGTGGGAGGGGTCGGGAGAGACCACGGGCCGAGGTCTGGTTAGGATTATTTCTGTGTCCCATATTTTGGGGCACACCGTAGCTGGATGGACTTTTATTCATTCCACAGGCATTTCCTGATGCCTGCTCTCTGCCAGGCCTAGGCCGGTCTGTGGATGCAGACGTGAAGCCGACACATTCCCCTCGGGTGGGGGCTCCTGGGGCACATCGGGCTGCTGGGAGAGATCTATTAAGAAACTCTTAATGCCCTGTGGTTTGGAGTTCTGGATTCTTCCTGGGGTGACCAGAGGGAATGTTTGAGGAGATGACCCCAAACCCTAGGGGAACAGCTCTCATCCTTTCTTTGTGCTTGCTTCCCCCAGCCAAGTTTGGGGCCAATGCCATCCTGGGCGTATCCCTGGCTGTGTGTAAGGCTGGAGCAGCTGAGAAGGGAGTCCCGCTCTACCGACACATCGCAGATCTCGCTGGGAACCCGGACCTGGTCCTCCCAGTGCCTGTGAGTGCAGCTGCCCCTGCCAGATCCCACAGTGACAGAGTTGCCCCACCCAGCGAGGATTGCATAAGCAGCCCCTGGAAAGTCCACCTTCCAGACCCAGCTCCAAAGAAGTGGTTTCCTGAAATGGAACCTCTCCTGCTGCGGTCCTGCCCCTCCCTCTTTCCCACAGGCCAAACCTTCCCTTAAGCTTCTCTGCTTCTTTCCCTGATGTAACCAGGTCCCTCACATTCCAGGCCTAGGCTCAATGACTCCCACTTCTCATTCTGCCCTGTACCCCAACCCCCAGATCAGATTGAGAGCTCCTTCATGGCAAGCATCTTGGCATTTCTTTGTATTTTCTTTAATCTTTGTTAAACCAAATTCCCTCTTTATAGAAACCCTTTGAATTTAATCTCAATGATAATGTTATCATTTACTGTTGCTTATGAGGCAGATTGTATGAAAACATGAGCTCTGGAGACAGGCTGCCAGGTTCCAGTCCTGGTTTTACTAGTTTCCTAGTTGTGTGATCTTAGGCAAGTTGATTTAACCTCTCTATGCCTCATTTTCCCCATCTATAAAATGGGGGAATAATAAGAGTGCCTACTTAATAGGGTTGTTTTGAGAATGAAATGAGCTAATAGAATATGTAAAGTGCTTAGCACAGTGCCTGGCCTGTGGTAAGTGCTGTAACAGTGTTAACTGTTACACACCAGGCACATGCTAAGAACTTTCCATTCAGTTTCTCTAGTTTTCAGCATAAGATCCTGCAGATAAGCTGGTGGTATCCCCATTTTATAGAAATGAGGAAAGAGGCTCTGAGGAGTAGAGTTACTCATCCGAGATCACTCAGCTGTTAGTAGGAAGCCAGGATTCCACTTCCACAAATCCCCCTAACCCTTCCTGATCCCTCACCCCCTGGCCCGGGTCTGAATGCCCTCTCCCCGCTCAGGCCTTCAATGTGATCAATGGGGGCTCCCATGCTGGAAACAAGCTGGCCATGCAGGAGTTCATGATTCTGCCCGTGGGAGCCAGCTCCTTCAAGGAAGCCATGCGCATTGGTGCTGAGGTCTACCACCACCTCAAGGGGGTCATCAAGGCCAAGTATGGGAAGGACGCCACCAATGTGGGCGACGAGGGTGGCTTCGCACCCAACATCCTGGAGAACAATGAGGGTCAGTGTCAATGCTAGAAGGGGTAGAGCCCCTGGCTCCCACAGAGAAGGGGCTGCAGAGATAGGGTGCCATGGAGCCTCAGGTCCTCTCTTGCCTCTCTCTCAGCCCTGGAGCTGCTGAAGACGGCCATCCAAGCAGCTGGTTACCCAGACAAGGTGGTGATCGGCATGGATGTGGCAGCATCAGAGTTCTATCGCAACGGGAAGTACGATCTAGACTTCAAGTCACCTGATGACCCCGCACGGCACATCACTGGGGAGAAGCTGGGGGAGCTGTACAAGAACTTCATCAAGAACTATCCTGGTGAGACCCCAGGTGTTCCACTGCTGCTGCCCGAGTTCCTGGCGACTGCCCAACCCACTGACCTCAGTGCCTCCACTGCCACAAATTTGGTCCTTCCAATCCTTAGCCCCATCAAAATCCCACCCAAACTCTTCTGACCTGTCACCCCTCCATGGGGCCCTTCTAACCTTTCACCCAACTCTGCCCCCATCTCCCACCAGTGGTCTCCATCGAGGACCCCTTTGACCAGGATGACTGGGCCACCTGGACCTCGTTCCTCTCGGGGGTCAACATCCAGATCGTGGGGGATGACCTCACAGTTACCAACCCCAAGAGGATTGCCCAGGCCGTTCAGAAGAAGGCCTGCAACTGCCTGTTGCTGAAGGTCAACCAGATTGGCTCGGTGACCGAATCCATCCAGGCGTGAGTGCCTCCTGGCCTGGGGTGCACCATGGCTTCCATCTGTCCAAGCTCTGCCCACTCCAGCTACAGCCTTGCCCACTAACTCCAAGGCTGACTTTCCTCTGGCTCCTGACCCATTCCCTCCCTCCTAACTTCAAGGCTTTGTCTAACCCTTGGCCTGACCCCAAGAGCTTTGCTACTGTGACCCTGCCATGCCCCATCCCCACCCCATGCCATTCCTCTCTCCCAGATTCCACCCTTCTTCCCACCAGCATCTCAGGAGTCCAAATTCAAGATCAAGAATCTACCCCTTCTCTCCTCCTTCCCGAAGAACTTAGTCATTACCCTCCCCACAAAGTGCCCACTCCTCAAAACAAGGGGAGAGCGCCACCAGCCCTTGGCTTTCCCCCTGAGGAGGTCCCATTAGGCCTTATCAAATGTCCTCTCTACCTAGCTGCAAACTGGCCCAGTCTAATGGCTGGGGGGTGATGGTGAGCCACCGCTCTGGGGAGACTGAGGATACGTTCATCGCCGACCTCGTGGTGGGGCTCTGCACCGGACAGGTACTCATGGCTCCCCTCTGCCAAGCACCTGGCCAAGTTTTCTTGGGGTCCCTGGCCTCCTGCCCCTGAGTTGAATGCCACCACAGGCTGCTCCCTCAGGGCCAGGCCCAGCCCCAGTCTCTCTCCAGCCTGCTGCAAACCTCCGAATCCCTCTTCCCTCCTCAGATCAAGACTGGTGCCCCCTGCCGCTCAGAGCGTCTGGCCAAATACAACCAGCTCATGAGGTACAGTGGTGCAGCGTGCCTGGCGGGGGCAGCCGACGGCTGTTGGGTTGGAAGGGCACAGCTCTGACTTTATCTGCCTTCCAGGATCGAGGAGGCTCTCGGGGACAAAGCTGTCTTTGCTGGACGCAAGTTCCGTAACCCAAAGGCCAAGTGAGAAGCCGGAGGCCCCAGGACCCCACAGGACAGATCTAGGCCTTCAAGCCCTTCTTCCTGAAATAAACAGTGGTGTCAACCAAGACAATGGCATGCTCTTTTGTGGGAGGGAGGAGATGCTGGTCTCTGGACTGGGTAAGACAGGAGGTGGAGAGGTGGGGGCAGGAAGGGGAGAACAGACGTGGGACTTGCTGGGATGAGGAGGCAGTGAGGGACTGGTCAGAGGAAGTTGGACTGGATCTAGAACGACAAAGTTCACATTTTGGAAGGAGGCTGGGGGAGCAGGTGTCATGTGTGAAATGAAGCTGAAGAGGCACTGATGGAACATGGAACCAGCCCCAGAAGGGCAGCAGGGTGGGGGACCAAGGGTCTGACATCACCGTGAGGGGGCAGCTGGATCAGGTCTGCCGCTAAGTTGAAGTGCACGGTCTGCAGAGTGCTCATCCTCATGAAGTCCGAGTGTGCTGCGAGGATGCGGTACCTAGAGCAGCTTCTTCTATGGAACGCTGAGGATCTGGAACTATTCTAAATATCTGGCATATTGACTTGTGTAATCTTTGAAATGGTCCTATCAGGTAGTTACCATAATTATCCCCATTTACACGTGAGGAAACTGAGGCACAAAAAGGTAAAAGACCTTACCTAAGGTAAAAGTAACTGGCAGAGCCAGGTGCCAAGGCTAGGCCATTTGGCTCTAGCAATTGTGCTTTTAAAATACTATTTCTGGGGCCAGCCCCATGGCTGAGTGGTTAAGTTCACGTGCTCTGCTTTGGTGGCCCAGGGTTTCGCCGGTTCAGATCCTGGGCGTGGACATGGCACCACTCATTGGGCCACGCTGAGGCAGTGTCCCACATGCCACAACTGGAAGGACCCACAACTAAAAACACGCGGCTATGTACCAGGGGGCTTTGGGAGAAAAAGGAAAAATAAAATGTCAAAAATAAAAAAAAAATTAAAAGAAAAAGGATCTCGTGTAAAAAAAATACTATTTCTTATAAATCTCTATGAAAGTGCCCATATTTGGCCATCTTTGGCCTACACAAACAACAATTTTATACTTTTCAACCTAAAATTATTTCTCTTTCTCTCCAGGACCCACCTTTCTCTGTTCAAATAAACCAAGACATTGGGTCAAACAGTGTTTATTGAATGTAAAGTAACCCCAGCCCCATGGGGAAGAAAATTTCAAGGAGAATGGAGAATAATACAGATTAAATACCCACCCATGCACTCACACTCTTTCACACACACATGCACACACACACACACAGACAACACATACATATCCAAGCTCCGACAGTGACAAATCAAACCCCTGCTTCCCCCAGCCTGAGTGACAGCTCTTAGGAGGTGACTCAGAGGCGGGGCTCCAGGACGGGTTCTCATAGCAGCAGCCTTGCCCCTCCCTGCCCTCTGCCCTGCCCCAGGGAGCTGGGGTGCCTAGGAGGTAGGTGGCAACTCTTCCCCGCTCTGCCGCAGACGCTTCTTGGCTCTGATCTCATTCATGGCCTCTTCAATGGAGCGTGTGTCCCTCTTGTTGGCCACGGGCACTGGGGGCAGAGGGGAAGGTGGAGAGGGCCTAGGAGGCCTGTGCTGTGGGCTCCCCACCCCTCCCCCACCATCCTGTGTTCCTCTCCCTGCCCTCCCCAGCCCACACTGTGGCCTCACCACAGCCGTAGGTCTTGTTGGCCTGTAGCATGTGGGCTGCATCCTTGGCTGCCCCCTTGCCGATGAGGTGGCTATACTTGTCCTTGTAGTCGCTGGCGGGGCTCACCACCACAGGTCCCTGCTGGGCTGCCTCTTCCTCCTGCCGCTGGGCCAGCTCCTAGGGGTGCAGAGGTGGGGCACCGGTGCTCAGGGGCCAGACCCCAACCCCTCCCAAGTGGTGGGCTGCAGGACTCCAAGGATGGCCGGGCATAACCCACCTTCAGCTTCCGTTTCTCCTCAGCCTTCTGAGGGTCCCACTCCTCGCCACGACGGTAGGAGTCCAGCTCTTCGTCTGAGGGTGCAAACTCCTGGGGAAGAAGGGAATAATGGGGTCACGGTTCCATATACACGTTTTATCTCATTCCTCTCCCCCAGGGAAGTACAGGCTGAAAAGGAAAGAGGAGAGAGTGGGGAACTCAGGCCTTTCACCTTTTTGAAGATCATGACATAGCGACACTCATCATCTTCCCCGAAGGAGAAGGATGTCAGGCCGGCCACTTCCACCACATCGTGTCTGGCAAGGGAAGGCAGAGGGAAAAGAGCATGGAGAGCCAGGACGGCGCCTACTGCTCTCCTCTAGCAGATTCCCCTGCTGGCCCTTTCATGCCACCCTGGCCACCCGTTTCCTGCCTCCTCCAGCCCAGAGACACTCACAGTATGCTCCTCTCTATCTTGTTCATTGGCTGAAACTTTTTCTTGATCTGCCCACTGTCTTGGATGAAATCTGACACTTCTTTCTCCATCTTGGGGGAAAAGGTAAGATAATATGAGACGATGGCTCTGCCTCAATATCCCTCTCCCCAGCTGGGCCAATGGCCTTCTCCTCCCCACCTTTCCCAGCCTCCAGGCCACTGGCTTCCAGGCTTCACCTCTCTCAAGACATTTAAAGAAAACTGAGTCCTTAACTTTCCAATCCTAACTTATTGTAAGTCCTTCCTGAGGCTGTCTTTGACCTCTCCAGTTGTTCTCACCCTTTTACGAAACTCCACTTTCTGTTGTTTCTCTTGCTCCTGTAGTTTCTTCAGGCGGGCAGCCTGCTCTGGGGGTGAGAAATGGGAGCATGAGGCCAGAGTGGAAGCATGGGTGGGGAGAGTTTGTAAAGCTTCAAAGGAGGTCTGGGGTCCACTGGGAGGTGTCAGCTGGGAAGGCAGGATTACTGGTCATTCACTAAGCATTTATTGATATTTCCTCTATATGTGGCACTGTGCTAGGCCCCGGAGTACAAAGATGATTAAGATAGCGCTTTGCACTTCAAGAGCCCACGGTCTAGTGGGAATAACAAAGATTAGAATCATGCTTAACTCCATTTCCCAACCCCACTGGGGAAACCAATTAACAAATATTTATTTAATGCCCACAACATACAAAGAACTATAAGGCACCTGCAGAGGTAAGGAGAACAGGCTAAACCCTGGCCTCAGAGAGTTTACTATCTCATTGTCTACATAGGAAAGGGGAAATTATTTCACTTCCTATATTTGGTAACACCCTCACTTCTCACTTCCACAGACAGGATGAAGCTGAAATGGCTGATCTGCCACTCTTCTCCTTTAGGAGTGTAGGTGTCCAAGGTGACCTGCAGAGGAACTCCCCACCCTTGAGTCTTCATGCCTCCCTCTCCTCTCTTCTGCCATTTCAAATCCTTTCTAACCTTAGAGCCCACTTCCTCCACAGGATCTGAATCCCTCCAGCTGCACTGACCCTCTTCCCGTTTTCCTAATCACTCCATGCCTTTGCACACCTTGTTCCTTCTGCTTGAAATGCTTTTCCTCCTCTTGTAAACTTTGAGATCTACCATGAGTCAGAGTTACTCACTGCTTCCTCTGGGGCCCAAGCACGTTCGGTTCAGACACCCACTAGAGCACGTGCTGAGAACTAACATAAGGTAACTTCTTATTTGTCTCCCCTACCAGATTATGAGCTCCTAGAAGGCACACCCTGCTGCTCTCCTACCTAGGTATTCTCTGTGGCCGCAGGGCCCGATAGTTTAGGAGCTCTCATCTCTCTGACCTCAAGGGCTCCAACTATCAACGCATCCCATCTTGGCCACTGACTGTTCTCTACTTGGTTTGCGAATCTTCTCTCTGAATCTGAGGAGGTATAACGAGATTGTGGTTAAGAACACACGCTTAAAAGGCACATCTGGGTTTGAAACCCTGCCACTTTGTAACCGTGCAACCTCAGACAAGTGACTAAACTGTGAACTTCAGCTTCTTAGTCTGTCAACTGCTACTGGTGAACCCCACCTAGACAGTATGGTGAACATTAACGAATTCCAATTCCCAGTACCCATTATGCTCTCTGCATCCTCAGGGCTTTCAAATGCACATCTCTGCCTGTAACACTTCGCTCCCCCTCTCACTCACTGAGTTACCTATTGTTCAGATCTCAGCTCACTGAAGACTAGGTTAGGACTCCTAGGTAGTCGGTCTCATAAAAATTATTTTTCTTTCAGAAGACTTATTAAGTTGGTTATTAAACTTCTGTGTGATCATTTCATCAGTGTTCCAGATTGTGGGCTTCTTGAGGGTACGCCGGATCCCTAGCAACCGTTCAGTAAATAATGGATGATATTTCGATATTAAGCAGCACTTGAGAACTTTGAAGGCATCCAACCTGTGGGGGAGCCGGTACCCAGGACGGGGCTTGTCCCTGTTCAAGGCCCGCAGGGTTGGGAGCTGGGGTCCTCCCCACGGCAGTCATTCTGCCAGACTCATTCACGCGCCGCGCCGCGGGCAGCCCGGGGGAGGCCAGCATTGCCCGGCCGGCCGCGCCCTAGGCCGGCAACCGAACTTGAGCCCGCCTAAGGGGAAGTTACTTGGGGAACACAGGCGGGGAGACTAGGCGAATCGGGCCCGGCAGGGGCATTCTCATCCCTCCGATCAACATCACGATCCGCGCGGGCAGCTTGGGAATTTAAGGGTACAAATGATAGAAGCGTCGGAGGGAAGCAGGAGGGACCGGGTTAAATCAGGTTATAAGGCGCATACGGGCACCGAAAGGACCCAGCAACCAATGGAGGTGCTAAGGGTGGCGTGGGCGAGAGATAGGTCAAACAAGACTTCATAGGTAGACCTTTAAGTTGAGATGACCAATAGAGGTGAAAGGATTGCGGATGGGCGTGTCCCGGACCCACTTGGAAGGGGGATGGGGCGCAGGGACACGCGGGCCGGGAGGTAGGCGGGGCCGAAGAACGCCAAGGGATTGGGCGGAGTGAGGCAGCCCACCAATCAGAGCACGCGAGCAGAGGACAGGCGGGCCCGTCGGCGAATTGAAAACAAGGACTGCGGAAGGCCAGGCTAGGGAAAGAAGCAGGAGGCTGGCGCTTGGCTTCAGGTAACCAATCATCGTCCGCTAAGGACAGCGGGCGGGTCGG